AAGTATCTCAATAAAATTTAGTATTTAAAACTAAAAGTTTCATACATTTTAAAATTAAGTATATTTTATAATATCTATTATTTTAATCATTTAAGTATAAAAATTAACTAAAAATAAGTCTAAACTTTTAGAATATTATATTTTGCTTATTGTTAAATGTTGAATATAATTTAAAACAGATATTTTTTTTTTCATGTCCATTCTAATTTATTACATATAAATCAAATTTATTTAAATGCATTGGACATATAGGTCTAAAGGAAGGGGTAATGAAAGGTCTTATAATTTTTTTTTTAGTTAAGCTAAATTTTAGTTTCATATAACTTAAATTTTAGATTCAAACAATTCAATTAACTGAATTCAAAACTTAACTTAAATGATAAATCACTTGTGAGATTTATTTAAAAGCTAGAAAATTTGATTCTTAATCCTCTCCTTGTCCCTTGACTATTTCATCATTAAAAATTTAAAATATGTTAGGGGGCTTAATAATACATGGCGTGCGATTGTAGAAATTAAAAGTTTAGAGGGCATGTTGCAAACAACTTATAGAATATAGGGTGTAGGTTTGCCTTTTCTTTTTTGCCTATATATTCCGTAAAAGTGGGGAGGAGGTTGAGAGGACTTTTTGGAAAAAGTAATAATATTTTAAAAAATGTTTGCTTTCTAGATTTTTAACTATAAGAGCTTGAAATTAGGGTTTTTTTTTGGGGGGATTCAAAACTTTCAAAATAAAGCTTCTGGATAAGATCTCTTCAATTTTTCAAAGAAAAAAATACAGAAAACAAACATCGACTTCACGAAAACCTTACCTTTCTTATTTAGAAAAATCTAAAATTCTTAAGACCAAATAATTTTGTATATGCGTTGTTTCTTTTTTTTTTTTTGGGGGGGGGGGGGGGAGGGGAGGACTCAGATAAGGAGGAGGGCAGAAACAAAAGCATGGTTAATTAAATGTACAATCTGCATCCTAACTAACAATGATTCCAAAGCCTCACTTTTGACCAGGACAATAAAGAAAAATGACTAATTAATTAAAGACAACTTCGCTTATCTTTATCATTGTCTCTGGTAGAGTATTAGATGATTGTTTATCAAAACAATCTCCCTTGCAGGGGACATGTATCCATTAAAATAAACGTCCACCTGTTGTGTAGCTCGCTCATTCCGGGAAAAACTTGTTTATTGTCTTTTGCATTGGTCAACTCCTCTGCCAACCTTATTTGGTCGCCATCTGTCCTTTCTCACGTGACAAAGGGAACAAGTTTGATCCTTCGTTTTTTACACTGCCAAAGTTGCAACGGGGGCTGAGAAAAAATTTATATATAGAAATTGTTAAAAAAAAATGGAGAAAGAAAATTTTAGAAAAATATTATAAAAAAGATTTTATTGAGAAGTTTTTTTTTTTTAAAAAAGGGTAAATATAGAAATTATAAAAAAAATCACAGAAAAAATGAAAATATTTAAAGAGATAAAATTTTAGAGTGTAAAGTGTAAATTAATCAAAGAAAGAGATTTAGAAAGATAACTGTTTTTTTTTTTTTTAAAGACTTTACTTCTTTTCATCTGTCTTCTTGCTAGTGAATTAGGAAGGGGAGAAAGATATCTTTTTCTTATCAAAATTTGCCTTTTCACTTTATCCATATGGCAAGTTCTTTATATAAATTAATTTTATTAAATAAGCGTATCAAGTAATTTGACATTTATTTACATATATTGATTTAATAGAATTTTTTTGAAAATTTAGGATTTTATTAGAAATTTTATTTTATATTTTTTTTAAGGTTAAGTTTAAATTTATTTAACATATAAAATCCAAGTTTCACTAATTATTACAAGAGGGTCCATTCCAACCATTTTGAAAAGAGAATTGATAAAATCCAATTAAGTGAGTATAAATACTTAAAACGTCCAAATCCCAAGATCAGTGGGTTATTGTTAGGGATTATATAGAATTTTCTAAAATTAATTATATAAACATTCTTGATTTTTTATTGATCAATTTCAATTCAGTTTTTTTTTTTTTTTTATAATTATTCTGGTTGAACTTGAATCATTTTGTTTAAATAGATCTGTTTGGCTATTACTTATGCTGTCAACAAAATTATAGATCGTATATTTCCTTTTTTTTTCCCAATAGAACTAAATAAAAAAGGAGAAGTATTCCTTATTTTTCTTTAAATGTAAAAAACAAAAGGTGAATGATAATCCTTCCATTTCACCGTTTTTTTCTTTCCTTTATTTTTTTTAAAATTGTACTTCTTATTTCCTTTCCCATCCATCATATCTAACAAAGCTTAAGACTTAAGAATGAAAATTTTGAATAGCTTTATGAAAGTGTCTATATGCTTAACCTTTTAAAAAAAGTATCAATTTTACAATCTATTTGTTTTCGTTTACTGGTATTCTAAATGGTGATTGTGATCAGACTGTGCACCATGAGCCAGCTGTGCAATTCAAAGTCAAAAAATAGAAGGCCGTTGCAAAGTGTTGGAAAATAGAGTTGAGTGTGAAATGTTACTCTTATATAAGAAGAGAATTCTCCGAGATATAATAATGTCAATTTAATTTATATTATTACTTGAAATTAAGTTTTAAGGTAAAAATCTAATAGTTATTTTTTGTACACTTTTACTGTCAGAATGAAAAATTACTTTTCACCGTCAAATAAAGCAAATCTTTGTATTGTTCATTTCTTCTTCTGCTTCTTATTCGGATGCGTAGGTTCACTGAGGCTGGCTTACTCTTTCACAAAAATGGGGATCCTGCTTGACCCCTTTCCCCCAACCTTACGACTAAATAACAAATCAATTATTGGGCAAAGAATAGAATCCACCTCGTGAAACTTAATTTCCTCCTTTTTCTTGGTCATAACACCACTTGAAATGTCCGGAAATCAAATTCTAACAACCCCGTTAACCATCTCACCACCTTATTTTGAACCGTTTTGAGAAAGTAATCTCAATAAAATTTAGTATTTAAAACTAAAAGTTTTATACATTTTAAAATTAAGTATATTATATAATATCTATTATTTTAATGATTTAAGTATAAAATTAACTAAAAATAAGTCTAAACTTTTAGAATATTATATTTTACTTATTGTTAAATGTTGAATATAATTTAAAACAGATATTTTTTTTTCATGTCCATTCTAATTTATTACATATAAATCAAATTTATTTAAATGCATTGGACATATAGGTCTAAAGGAAGGGGAAATGAAAGGTCTTATAATTTTTTTTTAGTTAGAGCTAAACTTTAGTTTCATATAACTTAAATTTTAGATTCAAACAATTCAATTAACTGAATTCAAAAACTTAACTTACTTAATAAATCACTTGTGAGATTTATTTGAAAGTTAGAAAATTTGATTCTTAATCCTCTCCCTCTCCCTTGACTATTTCATCACTAAAAATTTAAAATATGTTAGGGGGCTTAATAATACATGGCATGCGATTGTAGGAATTAACAGTTTAGAGTGCATGTTTGCGAACAACGTATGGTATATTGGTGTAGGTTTGCCTTTTTCTTTTTTGCCTATATATTCCGTACAAGTGGAGAGGAGGATGGGAGGACTTTTTGGAAAAAAAGTTATAAGATTTTAAAAATGTTTGCTTTTCTAGATTTTTAACTATAAGAGCTTAAATTAGAGTTTTTAATTGGAGATTTCAAAACTTTCAAAAAAATGCTTCTGGATAAAATCTTTTCAATTTTTCCAAGAAAAAAAATACAGAAAACAAACATCGACTTCACGAAAACCTTATTTTCTTAAGAAAAACAAACATTCTCATTTAGAAAAAATCTAAAATTCTTAAGACCAAATAATCTTGTATTATGTATGCGTTTTTTTTTTTTTTTTTTTTTTTGGGAGGGGGGGAACTCAGATAATGAGGAGGGCAGAAACAAAAGCATGGTTAATTAAATATACAATCTGCACCCTAACTAAAATGATTCCAAATCCTCACTTTTGACCAGGACAATAAAGAAAAATGACTAATTAATTAAAGACAACTTCGCTTATCTTTATCATTGTCTCTGTAGAGTATTAGACTATTGTTTATCAAAACATTCTCCCGTGCAAGGGACATATATATGTCCATTATAATAAACGTCCACCTGATGGGTAGCTCGGCACATTCCGGGAAAAACTTGTTTACTGCCTTTTGCATTAACTAACTCCAGCTGCCAACCTTATTTGGTTGCTACCTGTCCCTTCTCACGTCTGAAAGAGAACAAGTTTGTTCCTTTGTTTTTTTACAGAGCCGAGTTGCAACATGGGATGAGAAAAAGATTATAGAAATCGTTTTAAAAATAAGATGGAGAAAGAAAATTTATAAAAAAAAAAAAAAGTTATGAAAAAGATTTTAGTGAGAAGTTTTCTTTTAAAAAAGGGTAAATATAGAAATTATAAAAAATTTACAGAAAAAATGAAATTTAAGATTTGGGTTATGCAATTTCTTATTTTTTTCTCTACTTTGGCAGTCCACATGATGAGTTCCTTTTTTATTTTTAAATAAATTGTCTGGTCTCAATCTTATCATATTATTTTCAATTTTTTTTTCATTATTGGGTACAATGAAACAAGTTTGTATGCAGAAAGATTTATTTTTTATTTATTAGATTCTCTAAGAATTTCCCACTTCACCACAAGATTCTTCGCTGATTCAACTCCCAATTTTAGTTTTCCCACTAGGTGATCATCTCTTGACAATGAAACCTCCAAATTAGGTGAATTCAGCCTACTCTTGTTGGCTGACTTCTAGTTATTTTAAGGTTAAAAACTACGTGAAGATTACTCATCAGAGTAATACAAACAGAAAAAGGTTATATAATGCAGTTGTGTGTACGTTCAATGGAGCAGCGTGTACGGAACTGAAAAACCTCGGTCTCTCTCTTCATATCTTGCCGGGCTCTCCAGGCAATCCTGCCAGATAAATCAGGGTTCAAAACAGTGAGAATGCAGATTGAGATCAAACCCAGAAGGGGTAATTGGAATGATGCAGGTCTCTATAAATACCTCCCTCTCTCAATGCAGCAAGTGTATCTCACAAGTGCTAACCAATAACCCGCATTAGCACCTTGCTCGGAAGCACTTTGGTTCAGAAACATGGCTCCAAGGCTCGACTGGAAGTTGCTTTCGGCAGCAGTGTTGGTCTGGGGATGTGGGCTTCTCAAGCCATGTCTAGGACACTGCAAGAGGCGTTCATGGCTGAACGACACGAGCAGTGGATGACTCGCTATGGACGCACGTACAAGGATGCTGCAGAGAGGGAGATGCGCTTGAGGATATTCAGAGACAATGTGAGTTCATTGAGGCCTTCAACAAAGCCGGTACTCGCCCCTACAAACTGGCCATCAACCAGTTTGCTGATTTGACAAATGAGGAGTTTCGATCCTCCCGTAACGGGTATAGGATGCTTTCTCATGGAAGGACTCCTAAGGCAGCTGCATTTAGGTACCAAAATGAGACTGCAGCTCCAGCTAGCATAGACTGGAGGAAGAAAGGAGCCGTCACAGCAATCAAAGATCAAGGCCAATGCGGTAAGAAGAAAAAGAACCGTAGAAACATTAGCTCATATTAATTACTAGGCCTGTTTGATTTTAAGACTGGTTGGTCACAGACCTTTTTACAAGTAGATATTGCCTCCATTTGCAGGATGCTGCTGGGCATTCTCGGCAGTTGCAGCCATGGAGGGCATTCACAAGATCAGTACTGGCAAATTGATCTCTCTCTCCGAGCAAGAACTGGTGGACTGCGACGTAAATGGTGAGGACCAGGGCTGCAATGGTGGCCTAATGGATGATGCCTTCGAATTCATCATCAACAACAATGGTCTTACAACAGAGGCAAACTACCCCTATGAGGCAGCTGATGGGACGTGCAACACCAAGAAGGAAGACTCGCACGCATCCACCATCTCGGGCTATGAAGACGTGCCTGCTAACAATGAGGCGGCACTGCAGAAGGCTGTGGCGAAGCAGCCTGCCTCTGTGGCCATTGATGCTGGTGGCTCTGCCTTCCAGTTCTACTCCAGTGGAGTCTTCACAGGGGACTGCGGGACTGACTTGGACCATGGTGGTGTTACGGCAGTTGGGTATGGGACAAGTGAGAATGGAACGAAGTATTGGCTAGTGAAGAACTCATGGGGCACAAGCTGGGGTGAGGATGGATACATCAGAATGCAAAAAGATATAGATGCAAAGGAAGGGCTCTGCGGAATCGCCATGCAGGCTTCCTACCCAACCGCTTGAATTGCATGAAAACGCTTTGATTTCCAGTCTGCCCATAGCCATGTGATGTTTTATTCTGCTATAGATTGTCATCTCTGCATGAAAGTTCCTATGCATATTGAATTGTGAATTACATAAATGGAACTGCTTTTGTTTACTATATTTGGTGCAACTTTTCTCAGCATTCTTGATGAACAGATATTCCAATCTTTCATACTTAAAAATTTTATCAAATCATAAATTTCTATTCATATTCAAACAAAAATGAATAAATAAATAAATAAATAAAATAGATCAAATCGTTTCTACCACAAAGATCGTAACAGTGCGTAACAAGCGGACCACTCGGAATTCTAAGTTAGGGGAGTCCTCCACATACGGTTTGATTAGAGGAGTTGTTAGAGCTGGCAATATATTTAGCTACTCTGGACCCCACATTTCTCATTCAAATAATTAAATGGATTAAAATGAGTTAATCCATCTCATCCTCATTTAATAATTGTGTTTTAATGGGTTATAATGCATACTCAATAGATTAATAATCATTTAATAATTAGTACACAGACCACATTCCACACTCTGGGTAGCTGTCTCCACTCTCAAAACAGTGTAAAGCATGAGATCGAGATCATATTTATTTAGACCTTTTCCCTCTCTACAAGCTCCCTCATTAATTTTTTTCAACTCTATCTTTAATTCTTTCAACTTTTTCTTCTAAAATTTTCTCTCTTAGTTTTTCTTTTGAACTTTTTCTAACTTCTTTCAACTCTCAGTCTAAAATTTTCATGTTTTTCTCTCTCTAAATTTTCTCACTTTCCCTCTCTAATTTTTTTCT